TTTTTTGCCCGAGTTTTAATTCCTCAAGACCAGCACTAGAACTATGAGCACTGGCAAAAATAAAATCATTGGCTTATGATACTTTTGCATTTGTACATAAAGCGCAATAGTAGAGTGGGATTTTCTGGCTTGGTCAGAACCCGAAATCGTCGCAGACCAACACCAAATTCTTATGGGACATTTCATCAAACACTAGGTGAGCTGATTCAATGTGGCCATATGTTGCATAAAAATTGATCATGTGATTGCCAATATAAATGTCTGATTCAATGCCTGTTTTGACTACAATGGCGTGAAGCAAAAAGGCATATTGAAATGCCTTTGATTTGGCACGGTGGTGCAGAAGTGAAGCTAAAATTTCTAGTTGCATTTACAGGAGGAAAAGGATTATGTTATTTGTATGTAAAAATAAGGAATTACAAAAAATAATGCCGAAGAAAAATATTGGATAAAATAGTTGACTGTATTTTAAACTGAACAACGATGGAGTGCAAATGTGTAGGTAAATCATATAGACATGTAACAAAGTTGACCGGAAAATATGTTCGAATTTGGCGGCAAGTGTAACGGGCTAGACAAATAGCCCACTATATTATTTTTGGGCCCAAAATGAAGAGTTCAATAGAAGTGTAGCCCAATAACTAAGCTCACGTTCCCATCCCCCCATTTTTTTAAAATTTATTTTTCTCAAACTCACTTTCAACGACATATTTTCAAAAAAAATAATTTTAAATGTAAACTAAATTTTTTTTATACTTTTTAGCTACATATTCTTCAAATAATCACTATTAAAAAATTTATTTTCCAAAAAATGGAATTCAAACAAACCCTAAATAACCAGTCTAATTTTTATTATAGGTAGTTTATATAAAATGTTCCTATCTATTGTTCTCTTTGCGATCATCATTTCCATAGTTTCAAAGATCCTCATTTCACAATATTCTTGCACAAAAATCCTTTTCATCCCCTACTATCTATTTATTTTATTAATTAGGCGCATACTATGTAGATGACATATTTAAAAGGGCAAAAAGTCAATTCAATTAAGCTAATAAAAATAATATAAAAATGAGAAACGAAAAAGTAAAATAGGAAAATAAATTTTCAAAGTGCATCTTCTACTCCATAGCCCTACACCCAACTCACTGTTAATATCGACACCTGAAGCTAACATAATCGAGCAACATGAATTTGCTCAGTATATTCACACTACTTATAATGTTATAAATGAAACATCCTAATACAATACAATTACATATTAAGACCGATCCCGCTAGTCGTAAACTTGTGTAGAAGCAACCTACGACAATTGATTTACAAGAGTTTGATGTATACTAGGTTTGTAATGAACTCTAGTGTAAATTGTGTATAACTTAAAATTCTGAAGTATAGATGGAGCACAAAGCACATTAACCAGCTTAAGAGGAAGGGAGAAAGAGGGAAGGAAGGTTGAACCAATTGCTCAATTATTTAGCTTCAAGTGTTAAATCTTAACAATGGGTTGGGTGTGGGGCTTTAGAGAAGAAGATGCTTTTTAGAATTTATTTTTGTCTTTTATTTTCTTTGTTTCATATTTTTATTTGTTTTCCTTAAAATTAAATGATAGGGACATTTTTGTCCTTTTAAATTATATCATCGGTAAAGGATGCGCCTATTTTATGAAACAATTGAATGACATGTGACAAAAGCGACATTTTGTGCAAAAACAAGTTGTAATAAGGATTTAAATACGAATTTTGGAACTATAAGGAGGACAAAAGATAGGGACATTTTATGTCAATTTTTCTTTTTATTATCATCCTATAAATATTTTCAAATCATTTTTCCTTGACTAAATTATGCAATTATAATTCTCTTGAACTTTCATCAAAATGGTATCACAATCCTATCAACCAATTAATTACCCATGCTTATCTTTGTGAGTAGTGACTAGTATTTATATATCTAGCAATTTCAAGTTCTCTATGTTGACTAGGTCCGGAAACGACCAAAATATGATGTTAACATAGTGGAAATAATTGAAGCACTACTATTTCAAATGTTTAAGAATAC